TCTTGCCTCAGCCTCCTGAGTGCTGAGATGACAGACATGCACCACCACAGCCACTTAGGATCAATTGTGGGGCTGGGCTCAAATTCGGAATCCTCCTGCGTCAGCCTCCCGGGTCAGCCTCCCAACCTCCCTTTGCCTCACTCACTCTCGGCCCTGATAGAACATCCAGACAGTATGCTCTGTGTCACACAGGACAGGTCTCCACCTGGGTCCTCCCATCATGACTGCAGTCAATCCCCTTCGAACCTAGGCATGTGTGAAGTGCTGGTCAGCGCCATCGCAGCTGTGGGCCTGTGAATCCAGGGACAGCCGTTGCATTCTTCTCCTCAAACTTACGGTTGCTTAGTAAAGAAGGAAACTATTTATCCACTTAAATTAACACTTAGCATTTATGACTGAAAAATAAATGTGTAGACACATATTGTCCATAGGGAAGAAGTTCTAAATGGTATGCATGGTACAATTCTAATTTCAGAATATGTCTGAATGTGTCTGTTTCTCCCTAGGTGATAAACCAAAATATTTACAGTGCTCATTTCTGAGAAGGACTATAGGTGATTAATTCCTTCTATTATTTTTCTAATGAAAATTTTGACATTTTCACCATGCAACACATCCAAATTTAAACAGAAAATTGCAGTGAACTCCTGTCAATGCCAAATGATAGATTTTAAGATCATCTCCCAGAAAACAATATCCCAAGCATATTGCATACAATTACACTACAGATGAGCAAATCCCAAGTAAATATGCCTGACTTTTTGTTGTGTAAATACAAAGCAGCAGGCATGCATTGGATAGATATGTCCACGCACAGAATACCTGTGGAAGGCTGAAGACCAGCCCATAATGCTCCTCACCCACAGGGAAGGACCTGAATGCCTAAAGGATGTTGTTTCCCCTTGGACGTTTTTGGTGCTTTTGTACAACATGTGTCTGTGACACTGAAAAAATAATTAAACACAAAGAAAAATAAAGACACACACCAAAATTTCTCTCACTGCTATTTTCGGTCACCTTTTTGTCTTTCCTTTCCTGACACATTAAACCTTTTTCCATTGTCAGGTTAATCAAGGTTCATTTTGACTTACTGCCCCAAAACTTGTCAGCCTGTGTGGATGAAAATGAGAACCCTTTCTTTCCCACTAAATGCTTCAACCTGCATGTGTGGGTACATCGGCCAGACCTCTCATAGTGCTGCGGCAGGCAGCTGGTGTGGCTGCCGCGTTGGAGCCTGTTCTCAGTGAGGAGACGTGACTCAGTGAAGTCTGCAGGCAGGACCACCCTAGAACAGGGCCGCGCAGGGCTCAATGAGGTCACTCCTTCATGCGCAGATTCACAGACAAGCTCACCAAGATGAGCCCTGCAAGGCTGGGGCTGTCCTCAGCCCACAGCTGCCTTCTCCCAGTCTTTGCCTGTGTGGAGTGCCTATAGGTCAGGATGGGTTTAAGTCTGTGTTTACAGAGAGAAAGGACAGTGGTCAGATGATGTCCCTGTGTCATCCTAACCCGATACACACATCTAAAATATTATGTTACCTTGGGCTTGAGGAAGCATGGTTTGTAGTGTTTCCATGGATACCTAAAACCTGTGTGTAATTCCTATACATTGATGCTAAGTGTTGACAAGTGAGTTATGTGCTCAGAACATGGTTTAAATGGTTAGGAGGGAAGGAGCTGATCAACACTGAAGAGGCGGAAGTGAAGGAAGGAGTGGTACCGTGACTACTTGGTGTTCAGCAGTCACACGAGCTCTTGAGCACTTGTTCACTTAATCAAAGCTTAGAAGCTCTAGTAAGCACTGAGAATAAAGCCTATCTGATATGCGAATTTGGAGATGCCTTCAATGCCCTGCTATTACAGCATCAGTGGAGAGGACAGACTGAAGGAAAAAGACAGATATCTAAACAAAGAGCCCGTGTGCGAAAAATTAACATGCCATAAACAACTGTGAGAACTGTAATTTAAACAATTGACAGCTAAAGTTAAACAAACCAAATAAGTTAGCATAAATGTTACCATAGTGGAAATGCTTTATTTGACATGGTCTGTGCCACTTATTCTGAGAATTGTTTATAAGAGCTATAGAGAAAGCAGGAAACAGGAGAAGAAAAATGATAGCAAAACATAAAAAGCATGTGAGCATAGTAGGTGGTTTAAGACTCACACTATTTTCATATCAAATAAACTTATTCCTTTGGCTATAAATAAACAGGAATTCAAGGGAAGGCATGTTCCTGTATATTTAATCTTTTAATATTTTTATATCTCCTCACAGATTTTTGGTAAGCCATGCTTATTTTGATACACCATTAAACACATTAAATATTTGATATATAATTTAAGAAGAGAATAATAGCAATATAGCAAATATGGATAACTCTTTTAGGACTGAAAATCATTTTGGTTTGTTGATTTGTTTGTCTGTTTTTAAGATAGCCAATACTAGAGATGACATTGACTCAGCACTATTAATATTTTTGTATATTGAGCAATGACACAGAGAGCAAATTTTAGTTTTGGCCATGAATATTATTGACATTTTTACAGAATTCATAAGAAATTTCCAGGTTTTAAGGAAGTAGGTAGTAACTTTCTGGCATAAGAGCTGTGAAGGCTAAATGAGAAGGTTAATATTCATTAACCTTGGGGATGGCTTCACTCACAGTACAGGTGCACTAAGAACTCATGGGGCAGGGCCGGGGAGATGGCTCAGTGGAATAAGCGCTTCCCTGGCAAGCTCAAGGATCTGAGTTCAATCCCCAGTTTCAGAACTCATGGGGCAAACCTGAAGACACCTTCCTCACCAAGAGATCGCCACGCCTGCCTTACCAGACTGCTCTGTGCACACTGTCTTTTGTTTTTTTAATATATTTAGTACAGGGTCTCAGTATGTAGCTCAGACTCTTAGTGATCCTCCTGTTTTCAGACTCCCCAGCGCTAGGATTACAGAGGTGCACCACCACGCCTGGTCTCAGTGGCCAACTTGGTGTGCCCAGGCCTGGGGCTGGTACCCATGCAGCATGTGGTGGGGGGATCAAACCCTGGTCCCTGTGCTTGCCTAAGCAGGCACTTAGTCCACTCTCTATCTTGCCGGTCTTGTACATACTCCCTTAACCAAAACCAACTTTTATATCAAAGATCCCTTGATATATACCATTGCTTCCCTAATGTACGACCTGTATCATTTTTTCTAGTATATTTGAGAAAAGTCCTGTGTTAAGAAATATAAACTCATTGGGTGTGGTGGTGCTTGCCTGTAATTCCAGTGCTCAGGAGGTTGAGGCAGGACAATTTATGCATGTTTGAGGCCAGCTTGCGCTATGTAGGGAGTTGAAGGCCAGCTTAAATTACAGAGGGAGACCTTGTTTCAAAAGAAAAAAAATTATAAACTATTTCTAAATGTTGTGAGTACTGGCAGTGGGGTTAATTGATGTCATTGGACAACTAGTTAGCAATATTTCTATAATCTCTTAGTATATACTAAGATATGAAGCCCATAATCAATAAAGTTGGATATATTAAACTATGCTAGAATGGTTAAAACAAGGTAAACATGTATCTTAAACAAGATTAGAAAGACAAAGACAAATTAGGACAATTACTTGTGACATATAACATGGAAAAAATAACTCTAATGTACAAAAGGCCTTTTAAAATAGTAAGAGATAAACCATAATTTTTATTATTTATTATTTATTTATTTATTTATTTATTTATTTGGTACAGGGTCTTGCTATGCAGTTGAGACTCATAGTGACCCTCCTGTCTCAGCCTCCCCAGTGCTGGGATTACAGGCGTGCACCACCATGCCCAATTTCAGGGCCCACATGGTGTGCCCAGTGTTCCCTAGCCAACACAGCACGTGCTACCAGAAATCAAACCCAGGTCTTTGTGCTTGCCAGGCAGGAGCTTATAGCTATCTCCCCCAGCCTCTAGGTCTGCATTTTTTAAAAAAAACAAGGCAAAAGACCCTCAAACTGACATGCATCTTGGCATCAGTAATAGTAGAAAAACACTTGTAAACGTAGTAGAAGCCAGGAGAGGACACAGGCACGTCTGAATGAAGCAAGTCTATCTCAAATAGCTTCCATAGCTTTATCTCTCCACGTAGATTTTGCATACACATGTATCCAAAAAGGGGTCCACCAGAGCTCCCCAGCCAGATTCGCAGTGGCTGCCTCTGGGCAGCTCCTTTGTTTCCACCTGGTCCATCCTCTGATATCCTCAGCTATGCTTACCAGGCCTGATAGGCTTTTGTAGTTTGCTGTCCTCCCAGCGCTGGAAAGAAAGCAACCCCCCAGGGCAGGAAGCGACCCCCCAGGGCAGGCCTTTGCTTGCACTAAGCTGTAACGCAGGCTGAAGAGCCAAGTCACATTTCAGGCACGTGAGTGTGAATGAATGACTCCTGTGAGTGTGTGTGTGTGTGTGTGTGTGTGTGTGTGTGTTCAGGCGCGCCTTGCACGTGCGTTCATTCCAAGGTAAATATCACTTTGCCTCTATTCTGATGCTTCCCAGGAAATTTCCTGGAAAGACCTTGATTAAAGGAGATAATGATTAACTTAAAAATTTTTACCCACATTCATAAATTTTATGTTGAGTTTTACTTAAATAGAAACAATAGCGCTCTCAAAGTGTGCATGTGGAGGGTACTCTTGTTTTTCTCTTCTAAAACTATGATTATGATTGAATTAAATTGAGCACATCATTCCTAGCCCATTGCTCAATATTTGCTACCAGTCACAGAAATACAAGGAAGAACGCAGAAATTTCAAAGCATTTGAAAGGCCCGATTTCTATCAATATTTTTAAAATGCAGCCTCCGCGAACGGTCAGAGACAAGTGGTGTCCGGGCTTGCTACGAGCAGGGCTCTGCCTGGTGCTGCATCTTGGTAGTATTGCAACTGAGGGGAAAGACACTTCCATTTATGGTGCGTGTGGTCTTATTTAGAAAATGGGAAGCAAAAACCAAGAGTAAAGCTTTCTCAAGTGTTTGGGTACCTGTTTGTTTCTCAGGGGCTGAACCACTTCCCTCACGCACAGCGCCAGGTCGGTGACGTAGTCCCTCTCGGTCTGGATCAGCTCCTCGATGATCTTCGCCCGCCGGGCCATCATCTTCTCCACCTCGTGCTCCTCCTCGGGGCTCGGGCTTGCAGCCGAGGGGCCAGTGGCCTGTGGGCTCATCTTTTCTGCGAAGTGAAATCATGCCCAGGTGAGACACACGGAAGACAGACCTTCCTGAGGTCACTGGGGATTACAGACAAGGGAGGGGCAGGGCTGAGGGCGCCTGCGCTGGGAGACCTCGGGAACTGCCCCTCGTCTTCCAGGAAGGTCGGAACCCAGCAAACTGTGACAAAGACAAGACATTAAACAGCACTCCAAAGCCACCGTCCCTGCTTCAAAATATCTCATTGCTGGGATCTGAGACTATCAAACTGATCTTCAGCCCTGACGTGAATCAAAACAATACAATTCAGAGCTTGGAGGCATGCTTGCTTTTGACATTAAGGAAAGACTTTCATTAGTAACTGAAACACCTTGCGATTTTGTTCATTCCTAATCTTAAAAATAATTACACATCATCCTCGGGTAGGTAATAAGCGAAGAAACAAGAAACAATTGCACACGAGGGATTTTTCTTATTATTTCAAATCAGAACCCATGGGGACTGGGGGCTGTAGTGAATGAAAGTTCCAGCTAAGATGTTTTCACGGCATATCTTGTTATTTCAAGGTTTAACTCAAAACTTACAGCACTGAGGAGATGGTGAGACAAGTGGCATGCCTCCCACGTAGCCTGGGTTTCAATGCACATGTGCTAACTTCCCATAAGGAGGGTAGTCATCATGTAATGCAAATATGGATTAATAAAATTAAAAATGGAAACAACGGAATTTTATAAAATGACCTATAAAGAATATGTATAAAAAAGGTACAGGTCACACTGTTGAAGTGAAAGTGGAAAGAAGTGTTCTCTTAGATGGCTCTCGAATGAAAGTGCACTGGAGAGACATTTGCGGAGAAGTTCGTGGTTCAATGCAAGCATTCTGCTCCACTGATAGGAGCCAACACTTCAAAAAGTAATGACTCTGGCTCTCTCTCTCTCTCTCTCTTTCTCTTCTCTCTCTCTCTCTCTCTCTCTCTCTCTCTCTCTCTCTCTCTCAACTTTGGGAGTTCAGCAAAAGAGTCAATAATCACACATCTGTGGAAAATGCTTTAAAAGTAACCCTAACATCTAATTGTCCTAACTGACCTTTGGACAGCTCAGATTGTGAATGAAGATACTTCTAGACCCTGTAGTGATCTGTCCTTTATTAGGAAAGAGAGTGATTTTGATGAACAGCATGAATAGTGCACACTTCTACAAGACTTGAGCCATTCAATAAAAAAAAAAAAAATCATCCAGGAGGACCATAGAGGAAGAGATAACCCACATGAGGAGGGAGAATTGGTGTAGGAGTGTTCCTCAGCCTCCACACCTTGACCTGTGTTGTGAAAATGCTGCAATACTTGATAATTCATATTATTTTTATTTTATTGGAAAGTAGAAATATGACCCTCCGTGTCCCAGACTTAACGGGATGTGTTATTAGTGGATACCACGACTCTGAATTATTTGGGATAAAAGAGGAGGCAGGACTATATAATAACTGTCGTGAGTCTTTCCGTTTTTTTAAAAAACTATGTTTAAAGTGCAAAACATATTGCATAATGAAATGACTGGGCAGCTTGGGAGAGGGTGAACGGGGGAAGGAATCACTTGTCTTACTCTTCGAAGTCTATGGCACTATACACAGAAAGAGCTCTTCCTGGCAGAGCCCCGACATACAGACATGGGAAATTCCCCATTATAGTTTAACACTATCTGAAAAATGAAAACACTATTGAAAAACTGTTCTTGTCGATGCTTCTCCAAGCTCCAAACCTTGCATAACTTCTAAAAATAATTCTTCAATTATATGAGACTAGCATGCATCTTTCTTGATCTCTGGCACAGGAATATGCCCAAAGCACTCTCAGGTCCCCTTCAGTTCTGAATGCCAGGACTCAGGGACACTCTCTGTGTCTCACAGATGCTCCAAGTGCTACCCTTTAAAATCTGAATTGCATCCAAATTTTTAAATTAAAACCTACTCAGATTTTCTAAATTTCCCAGCCTCTTGTTCAGAACCAATCTGGGGAGTCAAGGTGCTTGAAATACATTTATCAGTCAAGATAGTCAACTTCAGAAACTTCTCCTTGCAACTGTAAGAAACTTCTCGGGGAATCTGGAGCTGTGGAACCTTGTGCCACACCTCTGTTGCTCTTTTGCCTCTGGGTTATTGCAGGAGAAAAGACTTGCATCATTTTTACAGTTAGATGTCTAAGCAGTTCCTGTGTTTGCAGTTCTTAAACCAACAAACTCTCCACAATGCCTTGTGGATATTAAGTTGTGTTTTTCTACGATCTTTCTCTACCGTCAAAATTCTTGTTTGAGTTACATTAAATTTTAGTGAGTAAATTACAACACACTATCACCAACACATATTACCCAAGTTAGAAGCAGTTGGCTATACTAATCTTATTTTGAGGCAAAGAAAAAGAGAAGCTAAGTACGTAGAAAAGGAGAGAAATCAGACCTTTTACAGCTAATGCTTTCCCGAAACCATTCGCTGCTGCTATTCTGCTGCTATAGGGCTGGCACAAAGGAAGAAAAAAAGAACTAATGCTTTCCTAAAGTTGAAGAAAACTATTAAAGCCAAGGTAGAACTGAATTTAAAAGGTCATTTAAATTTTTGCAATTAAAATACACCATTGTGAGGGAAATATTGTTGTGTATCTGACTCTGCCAAATCTCTCTTTTTTTTTTTTAACCTCAAGATTTATTTTTCTTCTCTTCTGGATGTTTAACAACTAAAGTTTGCAGACTAAGAATTAGAGAAATAGAGGAGCTACAAGGATAGCCTCTATTTTGGCCCTAGTACTTCAAGGTCAGTGAAGACTTAGGACATAAGAGAACCTGTGCTGTGACGTCCTATAACTCAGTGGTGTCCCAAATTTTGTGATCATGGAGATTATAATGCCACAGGGGAAGGTGTTTGATGATGTAGAGTGTGCCTAAAGAGAGTCACCCAGAGAAAAAATTTTTCTCAGACTTTCATAGAGAGCAAATTTGTCAAGAAATGGCCGTGACTCATCCAGATGGCTGACACTGACAAAAGATCTGCAAGGTGCTATACATGGTTGCAGCATAAATCCTGAGGGGATTTGACTGTCAGATAAAAAAGTTATATTTTTAGTTATATAGGTCTTGCTTTAACTTAGTCTTAACAATTCAGCAGAAAAATATGAACATGAAGTATAAAAGTAATGCCATATTGACTTGTTGAGCTGTGAAAGGCTCAAGTCAGCAACTTCTGACAATTGCCAGTTCTGCCGATATCCCACTACTATTATGAACTACTGGACTATATTGGGTTATTTTGCTGAATTCAAGTAGCTACAACCTTTAGCCTGGCTTCAAGTATGTAAAGGTCCTTTAAAGACGTCTCTAAATACAGCTTCTCTAACTGCAGTGAAAGTTTTTCCCATCTCTAAAAAAACAAAATGGAAAAGGGGAACATGTTGGGGACCAAGAAGCTAAGAAATCAATCAAATATATGAAGGTGGGACTTGGCCCAGTGCCTAAAGCAAACAAACTACCTCACTCCTGAGATGAACATCCTGTCTAGTTAAGGTTTGCTATCAGTTGCTAGGCAATCTAGTATCATGCGTTACTAACTTCACAAAAGTGTAAATAAAGGACAGTGTTGTTGTGAAGATTTATTTGTCTAGCAATGATCAAGAATTTTCACTATTTTACTGAATTTTATCAGAAACATACCCAGAGTGCTGCCCAAGGCTGCTCATGTTAAAGAAGATTGCTGTGTTGGGAGAAAGGAAAATCAGATTGCAGATTAGCTCTGCTGCCACACCAGAGAGGATGTTAGGAGTGACTTAGCTGTGCCTACAGAGTCTTGTCCTTCTCATCTGTAAGCCAGGAGCGAAAACCAGCACCGTATTAACATGAAGGCTGAGCTGGCTGAACAGCAGCATACAGTGGAGGTTCCTTCGGGCCTACAAAACAATACGCATCTGAAGTATTTCCATAGGCACAGCAGTCAGAGAGTTTCTCTGTGCATACGGCCCTCAACTTTCGATGGTACAATGAAGATTTTTAAATTTTACTCTCATGCAATTCTGTTTTTCACTTTCAGTATAGTATTCAATAAATTACACCAGACATCCACACTTTAGAATATTCACATTTTAGAATAAAATGGGCTTTCTGTTAGACCACTGTGTCCAATTAATTATAGAGTACCATGAGTTCAGAGCATGTTTAAGGCAGGTTAGGCTAAGCTATTTTTCTCTTTATTAGGTTGGTATGTAAGTTGCATTTCCTCATATGAAGCTATGATGGGTTTATTGGGACATGATCCATCACAAATCAAGGTACTTGCAAAATTTCCCACCACCTGAAGAAAACAATTATCCTATAGTTTTATATTTGCCATTGTGTCAAGATAACGCTTGGCTTTAAATAATGGGAGAGCTACATCCAGACAGGAGAATAAGAGGAAAAGAAACACCAGAGGCTCTTGGCAAGAGAAGTCAGGGGGCTTCAGGGCTTTGCCACCTGAGAAGCTTGACTGGCCTGGGTACCCACAAGAAGAGGAACAGACTGTTGGAGAAATGGAAAGGTGCCCAAGGTAGGAGTGGTGGGGTATAGAAGATAATCACATGTGGATTTCAAGAAGCGTGACTACTTTACTTTTGCCATTTTAAACATAATATATACATGTAATAAGTATAGAGGATCATCGCACAGATTTTGGAGTCAGACCATGTGAGTTCAAATTTCTTTTGTTTTTAAGAAGAACTGTTTTCTAGAAGTGACCTCTATTAAGGCTGCCTCTTGGAGGTAGGCACAGTCCTGAAGTTAGTCTCTGGAATGGGCAGGGAGAAAGAAAAGGCGAGGAGATGGGTCCTTTACTACTCTCTTCTCATCTGGATGATAGTTTTAGACCATAGGTGTGTGTGTGCATTTTCAGTGAAGTACTTGGTTTTGTTGTGTGTTCTTGCTCGACTGCAAAACACCTAAGATTTATAGATGTCCATCCACAGATCTATAGATGACAAGTTAAAAAAAATAGAATTAGTAATTTAGC